CATCCACCAAAGGAGATTTGGATTATTTATTTTGCTTCACCTGTTGCCGAAAAACTTGATGTTGAAATTAAAGAAATGCGTTCATTATTCTACAATGGATCAAATTATTGTAATAAATGGTGTATAGAAAATAAATGTAAAATGAATAATATTAGTAATGATGAAACTGAATCGAATTGTACCGAACAATGTATAGAATTTTGTATGAAATTACCTTCAATGTTATTCGTTGGTATGGGAGAAATGCAATTAAAATATTTTGGAAGATTTCAACTTGCACTACAATGTCGAACAAAATATGTTATTGTTTTTGATGATGATTGTATACCTCAAAAACGATATTTAGAAGTTGCAATGTATACAATTAATACAAAAGAATATCGAGGTATTTTAGGAACTAAAGGTACACCTACGTCGGAAAGTTATTATTATGGTCCTGTATCAAAAAGTAATCAAATCATTGAAGTTGATGTCGTTGGTGGAACTTGGTTTATGGAAAGTGAATGGGTTAAACTTATGTTTCATGATAAAATATATTCATGGAACACTGGTGAAGATTTTCATTTATGTGCAAATGCACGTAAATATGCTAATATTAGAAGTTTTGTTATGCCTATTGATAAAAATGATGATACTACACATTCATTTACAAAAGATTATTTCGGTATTAGTAAGAGAGGAGATACAACTGGATTCGTACACGGAACTTCATCAAGTAGAAAATTTATTAGAGATCAATTATGGTTACGTGGTGATCGTTTAATGAATAGTTATAAAATATCAAAACCATCATTACTATTATTTGCAGAAACACAATATGATACTATGTTATTAATATCACTTGTAAAACAACAGATGATTCAACTTGATGGTTTAATACATTTTGCAACTTCAAATATGTTAAAAACAGATATACAAATGATTAAAATTAAAAAAGAATTTCGATCAGTTCATGATTTCATGATTGGTCGTGATTTTAATATAGATCCAACACCTATTACTGCTACAGCTGAAATTCATTATGGATTTGATATGGTTATGCAAGGTACACAAAGTACAGCAGTAATTATTCTGGGTTCTTCATCCACAATAAATCTGTTTGCATTAGTATCAGCAGCATTCTTAAGAAATATTCCTATTATTAATATCTATATACAAGATAATATTGTGGATTTGAGAAGAGCAGAAGTAATTCTGACAATGTCTTCATTTACTATTCGAACTTTTACTAATCATACATTTAGTAACTTGCAATCTCAACAGTTAAATAATCTTCTAGTTCATCTTTATAAATAAAAAGAGTTGAATTGACACTCATGTCCTCGAATTAAACATCTACTCATTTTTTTCGCAATTTGTTTTTTTTTGTGAAACTTTGTTTGAAGTATAAAAGCAAAGTGTATTCATTTTAGATATAAACGTTATTAGTTAATTTCTACTCGACTGGATTGTAAAAATGAATCAGGGCTCAAATCAAACAAATATTGAAGAAGTCAAAAGATCTTATTTTAGTAGAAAAATCCAAATGGTGCTGTTGATAGTTATCTTAATCGTATATCATTTTATAATCCTTCCTTAATTCTATGGATGTCCTAATACTTTACATTCATATGCCAAAAAATATAAAAATCAAAGAACAAATGTAAATATAACATCTGCGGATTCTATTTTAACTTGGTGTGCAGAGAATCAAATTGAATTATCAAAATGTTCTTGGACAATAGGAACATTTCGGAATCATTTTTATAGCATGGCAGCTTTAATCAGTCGTCCATATCCTGATTCAATGAATAATAATAGTGGACTAGCCTTCGTTCGATTAGGAGATGGAGAAACGAAACTTTTATTTGGACGTTTGATTAAGACTATTGACCAATGGTCAATGCCTCGTGGTCAATCAACATTAGGGAAAGATTTAAGAAAAGTATTGCATTATCCGAAATATCAATATAATACATTTAGTCCATTTTATTATGGAATTTATGATGCTAAAGGTATTTGTCCTTTTCATGAACTTCTGTCAACGATTTATCAGCATCCAAAATATTCAACATATGCAAATTTATTTGTCAGTTCTAATTATCCTTCTACGAAACTATTGCATCAATCACTTATTCGAGATTATCGAAAAAAGATTATTCTATTAATTAACAATGAAACTAGCTCACAAAAGCCAACTGAACTAAATGCATGGACTTGTGAAATATTGCTCTATCCAAATAATGGACCTTTGTTGTGGGAAAATGATAAGTTTAGAAAGCAAGCAATTGGAAAAATTGTTGACGCAGCAAAGCGATACAGAAATCGACTATTTTTATTTTCGATTGGTGCACTATCGAAAGTTCTCATTCATCATGCCTGGCTCGAAAATCCTTATAATCGTTACATTGATTTTGGTTCTGCACTCGATCAAATGACAAAAAGTAGAGTAACTCGACCCTATCAATCGGATGCAGAACTCAACTATGATCCGTCGTATCTTATCAAATTTGATACGAACAAACATTTATTTCGGGTGTCATCTGTAGACTAAAAATACTTTCTATTTTGTTATTATTTTTTGTTTCATCATGTGTGGGATGTGGGTTTGAATGTTCACTCTGCCTATCCTCATTCACAACCGCACCGTTTCTATGGTTTCCTCTCAAATCGGCACCCCTGAAACTGATGCCTAAACGATTTCTTTTAGTTTCTGATCCCTATAAATAAGAAGACAGGAAAACTAATTAAAGCAAAATTATCATCTTTTATAATGAGTAACGTGCATGGCTACCATTATAAGAGTTTAATGGTTAACCTCTTACTGTCCTAGTTTTGCCAACTGGCAACATTTTGTCATACAGGGAATTCGGCTTTTTTCAAGTAGTCGGTTGAAAAGAGTTAAAAGCAAAGTGTCAATAGGTCTGATTGTTCTAAGGCATGTAGAATATTGTTTCATTAATTCTGTCGATTCCTTTGTCGTTGAAGGCATGCATTGTAACGGAAGAGTTGCTCTTCATTGCGTTTTGTTTTGTCTTTCAAGGCGTTTTGGACGGCTCCCTGAATTCTTGCCCACTTTTCGTCTGATGCTTCTTTAGAGGCTCCATTCCAATTGCTGCCAGCTCGATAATGCAAAATTAAAATGTCACCAATGATGCCATGATCATTGCGTTTACTTATGTTAGAATCGCTTGGCCATATTAGTTCGAACAAATCAGGATTTTGGTGAATACGCGCAATCATCTCTGGACTTTGACGTTGATATTGCTCTTGGCACCCACTTCTATCACCGTGAATATCACACTGTGCATTCCATATCCCTTTGATACGAATCAAAGGATGTTCTTTAATCCAATAATAAGACTCACCGCCACTATCAACAGCTGAGTTACCGATTCGAACTGATCTCCATCGCATCTTGTTGAGGTCTGGAATAGACTGTATATTTTGAAAAATAATGAAGTTAGGCCATATATAGAAAACATAAGGCCCAGGTTTGTGCCCATGTGGTCTTCGTTGCCAGATAGTCATAATCTCATACGTTGCTATTGGCATGACATCCTCCCAAACCCAATCATTGATGAAAAACATATCAACATCAAGAAACCAAACTCGTCCTTTATGTTTCGAAGCGTGTTCTTGAATAATCCAATGAACAACAGAACCGTGAGAATTCGATGGATGGTTGATTTGAAGTGTATAAGGTACACGAATATATTTCACCTGAAGTTTATCACATAGTTTTTTTATGTCATCTGCTATGTGTGGCTTGTCGCGGAAACTATGGTCAAAAACCACATATTCAAAAGAGTTATTCGGAAGAAATGCAAGCGCCGAAACATAATTGATTTCAATGAAATCCACGCGATTGATGGCAATAATGATAAGAAGAGTTTTAGGATCCGTAGAAGGAATTAAGAACTGTGGTAACTGACATGTTTTGTTTTTGTAAGATGTGAGCGATACTGATAATGATGAATTTGAAGAATAATTCAAAGTTTGATTATTAGATGATGCACCAGTCAGATAAGAAGAGACCAGATGATTATTTGTTAAACATTTAAAATTCGTTAATACATTATAAGTCCCAGTGATGATTTCATTATATGGGTTTATCATATAAAGACTAAATATGATGATTATCAATAATATCACCACCCAACGAACCCTCGAGACAGATCGCATTGATAGAAAACTAGAAAAAATAAATGCAAAATCATTAAATACGTATAATGTTTCTTCAGGAATGTAACGTCACCTCTATGAAAGTATAAATAGTACACTAAATTGTAACGGAAAAGAGATGCAATAAGCTTTTCAGGGATGTATATAATACACCTAGAACTGCTCACAGTTCCAAGTTCGGAGAAACTAGTTAAAGGAACTTCCAACACAGTTCTTTTAAAAGGAACTGATCTGTGTCAACGATTCTTTGAGAGGAACTGAAATGTTCTAACAGTTCTTTGATAGAGACTTCTCTGTGCCAAAACTCATTTTTTTAATACGAATTGGAATATTTCTTAAAGAGATATTCCAATTTACGAAGCCAAAATAGAATTCATCAGAAAAAAGTCACAATTTGTATTGAAAAAGTGAGCTATGAAACAGACCAGTTCCTATGAAAGAACTGTTGACACAGTTCAGTTCCTTTCAAATAACTGGTACAACAGCTGACGAGGGAACATCTCCAATTGAAGGATCGCTTTGGAATTCGGGCACCGTGTATAAGGCAGATCCCATTGAGGTATGAAAAACCCTAACAGGAGAAGGGCCCATAGGCCTTGTGTTCAGATTCATACGCAATATGCTGATATTTTAGCCTTCCAGATCGATCAATCCGGCATGGAAACGGTCGGTACCGTGGTATTCTGGAGGTTTCATGAAAGCAGTATTCCTGTTTAACAGATTCGATTACCGGATCCGTTCAGTTTCCTCCAGAACTGATTCCTGAGTCAAATTCCTGGCATTTTCCTGCCGGAAACGATGAGTTTTCTGAGGGTTTTCGTCGGGAATACTGCTTCAGGAATCAACGGCCTGGGCTACCCATAGCATGTGTAAATAAATTGAATGACGGCATTTCGCCCTGAGGTTTTGCTCACAGAGAGGTCTATATGTGAGCAGAATGCCCTGAAAATTTCCGCTGAAAAGAATGGTTCCTTCTCGAGATATTATAGCCTAAAAAAATA